GCAGGGCTGGTCCTGATTCAGGCAAGGGTTGGACTAGATGACCTCTTCCAAACCTACTCCTCTATGATTCACTGCCTTCAGTTCCATTGACCTTTGTCACTCCAAGTACTGGCTCCTGGGGAAGTTCCTGGCAGCAGGCCTGGCCCAAAGCGATTTGTCCCAAATGCCAGGGAAGATCTGTGGCAGAACCAGAATGCCCCTCTGTTCACAAGGCTTTGGGCCTGGGCTGGCTCTGGCTGCCCGTCCATGCCTCCTCTGCCCTTTGAACACACACATCCCAGCATGGAGCCCCTTTTTCCCATCCCATGTGCAGCTGTGGTGGTTGTGGGAACCCACCAAGAACCAAAACAATTTGTAACTCAGCTTGGTCCTTCAAAGGAGCTTGGCTCTTCTGATCAGCCCTGGACTTTGTCTTTTCCCTGAGTGATTCACTCAGACATGCCATTCATGAAACACACTGTCTCCAGAACTGTTTCCTCCCGCAGTAATCAGCAGCTCATTAGCTTTAATCAGATCACTCTTCTGTCACTTCTTTTTCTGTGTGTGTAGAAGGCAGAACAAAGCTTTGCAGTGGGACACATGGGGATGGGGATGTCTTTTTTCATTGTGGGCACTCGCCAGATTGAACTCACTGGCCCTTAATTGGATGCTGTGGAATTTAAAGAAGAGAACCCGAAGTGGGAGGCAGGCTGGCCAGCTTGGGGTCAAACTGTCCAAAGTCAGGAGTGGGGACTGTGTAGCTTGCTGGGGGCATGTGAATGGGGACCAGGACCTTGGACCCAGAAGGGATTTGAGTCCTTGAGGTTATTCAATAGACAACTTTGCCAGCACTGATCCGTGGCATATGCCAATGTACCTAAAACCCAGAGGTTCCTGGCTAGAGGGTCTTGCCCCTCTGCTCAGGGTCAAGAAGGAATTTCAGCTTTGTACTATGTGAGTTTTTGCCTTCCTCTATAGCAGGGGCATGGCCTCTTCCCTGGATCTCTTGACAGCATTTTAACACCCAGCAGCAGGACGCTGACAGCCCTCATCCCCCTGCTTTACCTGTTGCAGGTTCAGGTGTGGTGCCTTGCAAGTGTGCAACAGGGCTGACTGTGTAGTCTTAGGATGTGTCTGAGATGGTTTGGACAGGGCTGATCCTTCCTGGAGCAGGGGGCTGGACTAGACGTGACCTCCCAGAGGCCCTGCCAGCCTGACTTTTCTACGATCCTCTGACTAAAACCAACCAAGGGGCCACTGCACCAGAAAGCAGTTAATCCCCAAAGGCAAACTGCACCAATGCAAAAGTAGAATCCCTGACTCACAGTCTGCCCTACAAAGCAGGGCAGCCGTGCTGGCCAGAAGCATGATACAAATGGCTCCTTTGGAGGGTCAGGTAAGGATGCTGAGGGGAAGGTGCTTTTGTCACCTGGGCTGCTGCTGTTGGCAAGGTGTGGAGCTACACTGGTAGCAAACCTCTTGGGGACATATGTTTCTATCCAGGACAGGGCTCTGTGGGCCAGGCTATGTCCACAGAGGCCCTGTTGCAAGACAAGCCATGAAGAAAGGTCTGTTCTTACCTAGTATTGCCAACCCCACTGTATCAAAAATCAAGAGATTTGGAATGTAAATCTTGAGATGCTATTTTTTAAGTGTGTGTGCGCAGTTCCCAGGGCAAATGCAGCAGAGCACAGAGCCCAGCCTGCAGCAGGCAAACTGCCTCTGCCCTGCATACAAATCTGTGGGGCACATGCCCCCCATGCCTTTCCCAGTCCTCCATTCACCCCAACCCTACCCCACTCCCTCCCTCACCGTGGGGGCCTCAATTTCCGCCCCCCCAACCGCTTCCCTTCCACAGATTTATCTACTTGGCGCTCTCTACATGTGCCAGAAGAAAAAATCTTGAGATTTGATCTCCTGATATCAGGAAATCATGAGTCAGAGTTCATTTGACTTGGAAATCAGGAGTCTCATGATTTTTTCACTAGAGTTGGTGTTACTGCTTACCTCAATTAGGCAGCTCTGGATAAAGCTCCTAGAGGCACCTGCAGCTGAACCTGACCTGCCCCAAGGATGCCTCACCTTTACTGTGGTTTAACCCAAGGCAGGCAACAGATGTCTTTGTGCTGTGAAGACATCTGCATTTCTGCCAGTGCTGCTAAAACTCTGACTGGCTTCCAGCACTTGTAACTGGGACATGCTCCTGCAGTTCACAAAGGCCGATTGTCAAGAGAAACACAGCCAGGCCACAGCTCAAATCTAGCCCTCCTCCCTTTTTCTGGTTTAACCCTGCAAGCCACCAGGGACTTCAGCTGGTGGCTTCTCCACGGAGCTGTCACCATGGGTGCGTATCTGGCACGTCACAGCCACCTGCTTGTGTGAGCAGAGCGAGCCCCGGCGCATGCCTACCTGGAGTGCACCAGGCTGCAGCCCCTTCACCGGCACCTCCAAGACCTGAGGTCCTGGCTGCATGTCTCCCTGCACCTTTTCATTTACGCCCTCCCCATCCACAGCCCCACCAAGTCCTGGGACCTCCTGGTCAACCTCCTCCTGGCCCTGGCCAAGCATCTTACCAGAAAGGAGGCTCTGGCTGAGAGGGTCCCTGAGGACTGCAGAGAAGCTTTTCTTGTCCCAGCTCATTCCTGTCTCTGGTCAGAGTATCACTGGACAGTGTCTTCTGGCTTCTGGGACTCATTTGAGGGCAGTGGGTGCTGTCCAGTGCACTCTGCTCATTCCCCCCCCCCGACAAACTAGTTATTACTCTTTGACCTCCACTCCTGTCCCCGTTTTCATTATTATTTGTCCCAAGTAATTTGTAAGACGTCATTAGTGGCTGCCTGTGCTAAGTGGGGCTCATAGTGTCCTTGGTGGGCATCTGGGCCAGTGTTTGCACTTGTCTGAGAGCCGGCGGGCCTGTCCAGCATGCTCTGCTCAGCGTCCCCCCATCTGCACTTATTAGCCTCTGCCCTCCACTCCCACCCCTGCTTGGTCTTTTATTTGCCCCAAGCAACCAGCGATTGTGCCCTTAGTAGCCCGCCTCGCCCAGGGGGGCTTATAGCTCTCCTTGTCGGGCTTTGGCCCATGTCCTGGACCGGCACATCGGAGGCTGCTCTGAAGCGCAGAGCGTGCAGAAGGAGATGACGCGGCAGTGCAGCCACATGGAGGGCAGCGCTGGGCCTGCAGTCATAGGAAGGGGCAGACCTGATGGCGCCTGGCAGTGGTCTGCAGTCCTGGGTGCAGCCCCGACCCCGAGGGAATGTCAGTGCTGTAGGCCCAGAAGAGGGAGGCACAGGGCCCAGCTGGAGGGCACTTTGCTGGGATCTCAAGCCAGCTCGGGCTACAAACCTGGGGCCAGGGACCAGGTGTCCCCGCTCAAAACAAGTCACTCGGCTACAGCCAGCAGGGACTGCCATGCACGCCGTCGCCGTTAGGGTCCAGAGTGAACAATGCCCCGGGAGAACGGAGTTCCCGCCTCCACGAGGCGCCGCGGAGCAAGTTGCCAGGCAGTCACGTGAAGTCGCGCCACACTCAAGATGGCCCCCTGCGCCGAGGGGGGAGGAAGCGCCATACACAAGATGGCTGCTCCCGCCGAGGGGCAGGAATTTGCTTTTCCCGGAAGCGCCACGCTCAAAATGGCGGCGCCCGGGGACGGTGCCCGGCAGGGGCCAGGCGGCGCATGCGCGTGGTGGAGCTGGGCCGCGCCGCGCCGCAGTGACTAAGATGGAGGCCGCAGGGATGGTGCCGTGGGTCGGGGGCCGCGGTCCGGGCCAGGTCTGCGCGCTGCGGGCCGGGCCCGGGC